ATCCAGCTGTTAAATCACATTTCTTTGTAAGTTTTAATCATTGAGAGACATTACATCATAGGATACTCATTTTTTCATTAGAAAAACTGATTTATAGTTAATTGATTTTGGATGCTAAAATAATTTCACATTAAGCCTTTGATAGTTAGGAGGCTAGATACCACATCTACTATTTCACTTTATAATTTAATTATTATAATAGGCACAACAAACCTTTCTGAAATATCCTAATATTTAAAAGAATTAAAAAACTCACCTCAGTGCTACAACCAGAAAAAAATTAGCTAGCAGTCTGTGTTCTAGCCCTTTAATTTACTACCACAAAATGAAGACTAAAGGAAACAAAGTAATTCTTTAAACACTAAGGAAAAAATTAAGTTGCACATCAGCTAGAACTGAAATCAACCAAAAATACCTTTATTTTATAATCAGCACTAATTCACGACTGAGCTGATAAAAATACACTCATGGATAAATCCCTGAAACATAGAGAGATTCTTTTTTAAATTGTTATAATTAGGCAAGAAATTTAATTCAAGAAGCTTAAGAACTTTATGCGTTGAAAGCAACTTGATCAACTTGTACAGTTTCTAGAGAAACAGGACACAACCATTACATTTTCATAACTTATAAAGTAGTAAGTCATTTAACAGAAAGACACTGGAACCAACTTGGATTAAAGAAATAGTATTTGGCTCATCAAGACAAACATCGGTCTAGTCTAAGGCCTATAAAACAAGTTCAGTAACTTACATCTTCTGTCATTGTTATGGTAACTATTCAGGGGAAAAAGCCAAGGAGATCCAAATATGTACAATGTTATACTCTGATTAAACAGGACAAAAACAGGAACAAGATTAGAGTTTGGAATCCAGATGACGTGATACACCAATTTCATTTTGGTGACGCACCTGGCAGTGGCTTGACATTGAAATTAAGGTAACACAGGCTACATAACCTTGCCGTGCACATTCAGCCTTTAATGTACCTACCTATTAATTCAGTGCCCTTTCTCACAGATACAGGAAAAAATACAGGAAGAATGATAATACAGATGGGTAAAGAAATAACAAAACTCTTGCCATCACTTGTAGATATGAGATGCCTGCTGTCCATATACCACTAAACTTCTACTGGCTCAGAAAGGCATCGGGAATTTCATTGTCAAAACCAATATAAAGCAGAACCACAGAGGCAACAAACAGGCATTGCCTTAGGTCTGAGAGAGAGCAGTGCTATTAACTCAAACATATGACAGGATGTTGTCTTGAATCATTTTTGTAATGGGCTCTGAAAAACCTTATGGAAGAGTATATTAGGAAACACCAAGTCCCTTCCTAAAAACACACACGTGACCTAAGAGACACTGGGGGAGAGCAAAGGGATGCAGCTGGAGAAGACAGGAAAGCTCATTCCCCCTTCATTCACATGCACTGCAACAGGTTGTTGGCACTGTGTTCATTCAATAAATAATTAATGAGAGTCAATGTCCAAGATCATGATGTTCTATCAGCACCTAAAAACATAGGATGATATCATCAAGAACAGTGTTTGCTGTTACTCACAGTTGTGATAAAATTCTATTTCCTACATCTAAACACAGAAGCAAAGAAACTCTTCAATAAGGTTGACTTAACAATGAGACTGATCCATCTTGCTGGAATTAAGTTACCTCAGTGATTTTATGAACAAATACACATACACAAAAACAGATAAGGAAAAACTAAGAGGCAGCATGACAAAATAAGTTTTCTGCCTAATACGTACCATTTTATTCATCACACTTCATAAAGCTAAACCTGTACAAATTTCTACATTTTGCTTTGAAGGAACTGTTTACTAGCTCAAAATATGAAAATATCATAAACATTGAACTTATGGTCCCTTTTGCAATTTCTGTGGAGTCACTATCAATGTATCAGCACAAAGCTTTTGACAGATGAAAAAAAAAACCTGAACAAAAGCCACAGAGACCACAGGGCCCTCATCCAGGCTACCCAAAACAGATACCAAGCTGATGTCTGTCGTAATCTCAAGAGTCAAATTCAAAGTCTGTTACATAGAAAAGTGAAATTATAGCCATTAGTAAAGAACTTAAGAAGCTAATTTAAACAGTAAAGAGAAATTGGATCAAAACTACATATACAGTTAAAGACATAGGTAGACACAACTGTTCAATTCAAGATCACATTTTTACACAGGAAAAATACTACATTGTGATCTACCAGTATGGCTTTTCCCATGAAGAGGTGGGTGTTTTCAGACTTTAAACTGAAAACTGTTAGTTGCCTAAGAAAACTAGAACTGATTTAATTGTGCTAGGAAAAACTAATGTCAAGAAGTGAAAGTGAGATTAATGTGAAATTTATAGCATTAATATAGACACCACTATGATTTAATTTTGGAAGACATTTCACCTTCAATTTGTCATACTGGGGCAGCATATTTCACCTGTGAAACTTTCATCTTAGAACACTGAAAGATAAGGCATAACACTTAAAAAAATTTCCACAGACTGAAATACAACTGAACAAAACAAAAATTAAAGTTCAAAGACTAAAGAAAGCAGAAGTCAAGTTTTGGCTTGTGGGCATGCACAAAATTAAAAAAACAAAAAACCAAGTTAACAGCTATTGGCATTTATCCACAATAAGCTGTAATGTGATGTAATAAAACACAGCTAATAAACATGATTGGTTCACAATGAAACTGTACAAGCCATTAATTCACACTGAAACAATACACCTGACTGCTGTTTTAAGCAAAAAAAAAAGGATTAAAATTCTATTTTATTCAAACTTGAAAAATGATTTCAACTAGTTTAAATACATTAATCCCCAAAGTTTTACAGTAACTGATGAATTTCAATCACTCACACAACCACATTGTAAATCCCTGAAACATGGATTTATTATAGGAATACTGATAAAACCTTAACAGATATAAATGATACATCATATAGTGTCTTACACCTTAATGGCAAATACTTGACTCAGATTGGTAGGTGCATCACTCCTACTTTTACACTCTACTATCATCCTCTAGGACCAAATGGTTTAAATTGAACTCACAACAGCTTGCAGTTACCTAAAAGCAATGATTTTTTTTTTTAAATCAAGCTATAAAAGATTCTTCTGACCAGTATTCCAAAACTTTTGGAAAGAGAACACCCTAGTGGGGACTAAACACAGTATGCAAGGAGTCATTGCAGTGAACTTGAAAGTCATTTCAGAATCAGCATCCCTGAAGAGATTTAGTGTACAGCAGTACATCCCTTGACATCAGTAACATGGTGTATGTTTATCTGTGCATCTTAGGACCTTATTGTATCAGCAGGTCTTAGGACTGTTGAAATTAATCTCATTCTGGCAGAAGCTTCCTGTGGAGTAGGGCAATTCCTAAATAAAAGGCACTCTGTTAAGAGTGACATCAGAATTATCAGCAATGCAAATGGATAACTTGTAACATATTGAAGGGAAATGCTGCAGCTTACACGAGGTCTAAAATTAGGTACTTTTTGTAAAATAGGGAAAAAATATTTAGAGCAGCTGTAGTGCATCTGTTTACATGCACACAGACACTAGCCATTGTACAAGCAGAAATCTTCCAAGTATCTTTGCCTCCAGTGCTTTTCTTACTTGGGTGAAACCAAGCTTCTACAGTTCAAGGTGACTCGCAGAACAGCCCACAGCCCAGCACTGCACTGTGTCCTGCAGCCCACAGCAAGCATACTTCTAGAGAAGCTGCAAGTGTGGTCCTCAGTAGTAGAAAAAGAGCACAGGCACACACTTGGTTGGTACCTCTTATTTCTCTTCATACCTTTCCTTTTACTTCCACCCGCCTTCTTAAAAAAAAAAAAAATCATCGTGGAAATACAGCTTTCCTTAAGGACAGGAAAACTCATGCTTCTTAGTCTGACTAAAGGATGTGCAAAACAGAAGTAATTTCCCTGAGGCAAAGATCTTCAAGTCATGCCTAGCTTACATTGTCTACTCTTATTTCACTTGTTAAAATATTTGGCACACAGGCCTTGATCACCGACTGAGTCTTCCAGTATTATCACAGTCTGTATAATACATTGATATAATAAAGCAGAAGTTGCAAATGCTTCATTCTCTCATTCTGGTTTGGTTTTTCACATGTACTGATTAAAATCCCTTCCCTTCTCAAGGGTGGCATTGAGTCTCCTGGGCATGGAGGTAGAGTGAGAAATTTCTACTGTATTTAAAAGTTGTAATGAATACTGAATGCCTAAAAGGGCAATCACAGTAGTTTTGGGACTCAGAACACAGAGTAACAGGGTAATATTTAATAACCTGTTACATACAGCCTGTTACTTGGTGAAATGTAGGTGATTAAATAGTTGCTTCTTGATTTATATTATGAAAACCATCCAGAGAGGAAAAAAAGTCATGTTATGAGTGCCTCCAGTCTGAAACATGCAAGAAGAAAAGCCTGAAACCAAGTCTTCCCAGTTTTCCCTTTTAAAATATAAATTGCACTTGTACAAAGCAATCCAAAAAGCCTAAATAGCAGTAAAAATCTGAAGCTGCCTTGCTGTACCAAAGAGTTTCTGTGGTCAGCATCTGAAGTACAGGCAACTAGTTTTCAGCCATTCTGCACACAGAGCCATTTCTTCTACACCTTTCTACTTTGAGAGGGCCTGCCATTAAATGCCATGCCACTGGGTGGGAAATAAACAAAGAAATAAAAAACAATAGCAGGAGTTTAAGGCCTTAATCTCCACGAGGAGCTGAAAACTGTGGCACAACCCATGACCAATACTTACTACATAAATTAGCACACTCCCACCCAGGGCTTCCAAAATCAGTCATTCTTTCTAACATCTGCCACACAGACAATCACACCAACAGCAAGCAACAGCGCCAATTAAGCATTTTAAGGTCTTCAAAAATTCATAGCAAAGGGCACTTCTGAGAAAGATATCTTATAGATTTGGTTTTAAAAACAGACACCACACTCACATTCAAGGGACATCCTTCACTTTTAGGCCTTTGTCACAAATCTGAATCTTTATTGTTCTGAAAGAAATGCTATAAACATAAGACTCAAAACAAGAACTCCAACTTTCAGTCTCAGAAGAGGTGTGGTTCAATGCCCATATCACATGTAACAAGAAAAAGTCTCCTTAAAAAAGGAAAAAAAAATTACTGTCAAGTCTTTCTTATGAATGAAAATGCAATCCTTTGTTTTTCTCATTACTTTGTGTACAGGCGGGCATCAAAAAAAAACTTTTGCATTTTCTTTTGAATTCTTGCTATGACGCTTGACGAACTTTCTGCCATTCAACAAATTCATCCAGAAGTACAGGCCCTGCAAACACAAAACTTGGAGTTATAATTGGCAATGTCTTTCAAACACCTTCATTTTCAGTACGAGGGTTTAAAACTACTGTTCTAGGAAACATCCATGGCAATCCCATGGTAAAATACTCAGATTAGTACAATCATTCCAATCCAAGCATGACAAAAAGTGAAAAAAACTCCCATTTTATGGAAAAAATTGTTCCCGATATCTGACAGGTGGAGTGAACTGAATGGAAGGTATAAAAATAATCTTACAAATCTTGCAAACAGCACAACTAATTCCTTCTTTCCAAAGTTTTCAAAATTGTGAATAATTACAACATGGACCAAAATGGGACTTAGGCAATTCAGTCATGGCATGACTGACTACCAGCCAGGTGGAAAGTTCAGCCCCAAGTACCAGCAGGTAGGCAAAAATTGTTAAGCTATGGTTTATTATATATGGTTTATTATATATTACTACAAAATGAGAGTTTGCTGTTCATAATTCTACTTGCAAGTCTACAGTTGCATGCAGCAAGCACCTTCACTAGATTCTCACTGAATACAAGCTGACTCAAGTAAATCATCATACTATTTACAAACTATACCCCTGATAAACAAGTAGGAAAAATTAATAACTGCAGCTTGAAGATGGATGGTTATCAGGGCTGTTTTTGTATTCATTGTTGGAAAAAAAATACCTTACAGTATTGATTCTCTAATAGAAATTTGCTTTATGCAATTTTAAAATTCTCTGGCAATATTTGAATAAGCAAAACATTAAGAATACTTACATGCACCATCTTCATCATAGTTGCTAAGATCTGCATGGACAGTTCTGCTGAACTCTAGTACATTGTACCACTGATCCTTGTTCATAACTCTATACTTCGATTGCTAGGAAAAGCAATTTCAAAATATTAAAATGTCAAGTGGCATTTGGTACTCCTGCATCGCATTTATCTTTTTATCTTCAATGAGTTCCTAACAAACTATTTAATAGGTAATAATGGCTATGACGTACTTGATTTTCCATTTTTAATAATACTACACGTGAACATATTTTGTAGTTATGAAACAATATGAAATGATTTCTTGGAAGATCAGAACAGAATCAAATTCCCCAAAACCTGGAAATCAGTTAAGTCATCCCTCTAAGCTTCAAAAACTGATAAATTTTTGCCTTGCCCTAAAGTGGGGCACATCTAGCTCAGATGTATTTTCAGGATGAACTATTAAAAAAAAAATTAAAAATCTTCTTTTCTCCAGGGTACAATACATTCTGATCATAAGAACATAAAAAGCAAACTTGAAATGCAGTGCAGATGCAGCTGAATAGACTAGTGGGGTTCTACTACTTACTTTCAAATTTAGATTTACAGTAAAACCAAGATGGAATTTTAGCTGTCTTTGATAAGAAAAGGGGCTGGGGCATAGAGGGGAAGATAAGGACTGTGATGCATACAAGAACATCACTGTTTCATAAGCACATTGAGCAAGGTAAAGGGAGCAGTATGGATACATTTTTGAGTTAAAAAAACACAATATTCTCACAGAACAGTTCAACTACTATGCCAACATTCACAAAGTCAAGGAAACATGTACCTCCAGGTATTGATAAAATACTGAAAACAGTGGCCAAGTTCTTCCGAGCAGAAGAGCTAACATGGACTTTGCAGTATCAATATCAAGACTTCGCTGGTCTTTTTCCTAAGGTTGAATAAGGAAAGCACAGAAACCAATCAAGTACAAGCTTGTTGAATAAATAAAAGTAAGAACTTTCCTAACATTTCAGCAATCTTACCCTTGCAAAATCAAAGGCGTATCTGTAGATATTCTTAAAGGATGAAATGTCATTCAACTGTGACCGTAAGAAGTCAAATTTACTCTGTAATTTTTCTGTACAGTCACACCTTAAAAAAAACAACAAAAAACCAAAACCAGAACATTAGGAGTTCAAAACACAACATCAGGCAACAAAAAAAAAAAAAAAAAGCCAGCAAACACAAAAACCTGAAATCACCATAACGCAATCATTAGATATACAGGAGTAATACTGTGAAACTGACTTGAAGAATCTTGAACATGCTCAATATTTGCAGCTTACTGAAATGATGAATGCTGGCTTCTGTAAGCAAATTTTTTGTTTTAAATATATTAGCAACATAATATGAAATGCATGCTTCACATTTCAAATAATAGTCTTTTAATTACAAACTCTTGTAATCTATATTCATACCCAGCAGTATCTTATCTACCAATCACTATGAATGTTTGAAGACAACATCATTCAGTGGGCATTAAGGGGTAAAATCCAGCTGTAAATAATGGGAAAATGTAAACCCTAAACATGTAGTTTTCAAGTGTGTGTTTACAAATGGCAGGATTGAGCAGGCACTCTGCAAAACATACTAGTCTGCTCATGTTTTATGACTGATAAATGCAAGCTCTGATAAAACATTAATCACCTGATTAATAGTCAGTAACTATTCAACCAAAAAATCAAAGGCTGTATGAGAACATACAGGCCCACTAGTCAACAGGATAAAGCTTTGGCAAAAATAACCCTTTGGCAGAAAGATCTTGTACTTTACTCAGCAAGGAAATAGAAAATGGGTCAGATTCACCAACAATGCCAAAGGAGAACGCAATTTAACTTTGCTAATCCTCCAGCAAATACTCACTCAATAGAACAGTTATAACAGGACCTTCTATTCTTATAAAAAAGCTGCCATGAATAAAAAAGAATAAATTAAAAAATCAGCCTTGCCTTGTCTCCTTCATGAAGGAGCATACTTTCAGAAATGCAGCTGTACATAAATACTTCCTCTGGTCATGTGTCCCCCTTTTAGCAGCCTGCCTCTCAGAGAATACATTTGCACCTCTAACAGCTCCACATGGACTTGTCACACAGGCCCCCAGCAAGGGCTGCTGAGATGCTGGGCTTTGATGCTGTACTTTGCCCACAGCTGATACTTCCTGTTCCTCAGATCTGCCAGCCTGTGTGTGCACAGCTGTCTGTCAGTCTGTCTCTCAGACTGTGACAAGAGAAATGTAGCAATTCCGACTGATGAAACCCGTTATTATTTCTTGTCCCTAGCAGCATCTACCTAAAGCAGCACTAAGTCCTAGCCAACACTGGTGTTAAATAAATAAAACTATTAGCTAATTAAGCTACATATTCAGATGACAACTAGTATATTCTGTGATAAACCATATAACGAATTGAAAAGAACTCTTGTTAAATGAGATTTAGTAAATGTAACAAAAAATAAAATTACTTTTTTTGTCTTCAGCCATCAAATTGGTCTGCATTTTACTATTTAACCCTTAAAATGGCATTATGCTATGCTAGAAAGGCATTGCGTTTTTTATTCATATCTCTTCTACTGTTCAAAGCTTCATATTTCTACCAGAATGTTCTACACATCTGAGGACAAATCTACCTATTTAATCTACCTATTTAATGCTCAAGTTTTAAGTGTACTAGTGACATATAAAATATTTATAGTGGGTTTATCGCACATTGTTAAATATAATTTGATAGATTATTTACCATATATATGGGTAAACTCAAATTTCAGTATGTTTAAATTTCTTGCAAACTACTTGGTTAAAATTGTTCAAATAATCATAAATCTAAGTGCAAAGTAAAATGCCAGCTATTGTCTACCATACTATTGGCTATGTGTATTTTAATACACAATTTATTCTTTTAAAAAAGTTGGTATGAAAATGAGCAATAATTAAGTATCACGACTCCTAAGCAATTTATTATCAGTGCATTTATAACCAAAAAGCCAAATGGATCATGCTCAGACCAGCACCAACCTCTGGATCCTGACACACAGACATGTTTTGGTTTAGCTGTTTATTTCTGCACCTAGCCACTGACTCTTACCAAAAATAGGCAAGGAGTTGTCAAACTCCTCTTTTACAGAGGCACAGCTGCCTGTGTGGCTGCACCATAAAACAGATGACTGAGGTCGCCCATACTTGGAATAATATTCCTAATAGCCAGAACAACCTTCTAATTAATTAGCACAAGTGAATTTACACTAAACTCCTGTACAGATACTAGAAAAAGATGCAATTTCTCAAACTGTCTTTACTGAAAGATAGCACTGAATAGTTACCTCAAGATCAACAAAATTAGACATTAGCTTACTACATTCTCTTCTCATCCCTATGTCACATTTTTAACAAAACTCAAATTAGAACCACAAACTGAATGTATTTTAATTTCTGTTGAGATAGAGAGATCTGAGGCATAGCTAACATGGACAAACTGATGATTCATTAACTCCTACTCAGATAGTCCAATGTTTTATATTTCATAGCTATTCACATATACTTGTCTTTTACTAAAAAGAAAAATCAGTATGATGTTTACAAACATTAAACCAAAAGCATTTAAGGTTATTACACACATTTCATCCTAAGAAGGATGAAATAATCGGCCTAGCAGAGGTACTTGATTCTCTCTGCCATGAAGAGAGCTTGCATATATACATACATATATATGTATATGCACACACACACACACACGGGGCAGAATTCACCCCACACCCCACCTACATAACATACTGGAAACCTCCCAGCCTAAGTTGCTTAGGTCACATAAGATGATATTTAGGTTGAATTCACCTTAATTTTGACAGTATCTACCTCACCACACATTTATTTCTCTCATAAACAGCAAACCTCACCAGTGTATTACAAAACAATATGCAGAGAGAATGTCACTTCAAGATTCAGGCACCCAAATGCTGCCATCTGTCAATCAGGGATGTCCTAAGCTTCAGGTGTTGCCATTCATACAGGACTAGCCAAGCAACCTCTAGGAGCAATTGAGGTGACCAGTCATTAGGTCTTAGGGCAAACTGGATATTTCCCTAGGCTCCATTACACTGACTGGATCTCCAAAGATTGCAGTAAGAGTTTAAGAAATCCAGCTCTTGCACATAAACCAAACATTTAGGTATCTTACTATTGAGCTGAATCCCACCCAGCACTGTTCATGCAATTATCTTGTGTAACATTTCACGTATTTTGAAATAAAGATTCTATACCGAAGTCTATGTGGAACACACTCTAGGGTTTTAATGCATTTCAATCTCATTTCTTCATGCAAAAATTACAAAGAAAAGAAATAAACTGTGTAAGCATGCAATAATATTTTACTGTTTGAAGTGTAAAACCCTTTTCCTTCAAAATCTTGTCAGCCTTTCAAGAGAAAATAGATAACCCCATTCCAGATGGAATCCCATAATATAATCCTCTCTTCCTAGTAAGCAACAACAGCACAAGTCTACAGCTTTGTATTTTCTTTCATCATGGTTTAACCTCAGATGGCAGCTAAACATCACAGAGTTGCTTGCTCACTCCCAGCCAAAACCTGCACGTATTTTTTAGCCAATGGATCTTGAGCTGTGCTATGTGAGCATCTCTGCTTCACCCAGCTGCTCAGCCAGCTTTTTAGAGAGCAACAGGGGGAGCAAACATACACATCAACTGCTTTAGGCTTATGCAAGCGCTCTCACCAGAAGTCTGTTTCTATGAAAACACACAGCAGTACCCTATTTTCAGTATTAAACACATTTAGACTATAGCATGACCAGCTCTGTTCTGAAAAGAACCAGAAGATTTCCAGTCAGCAAATTATTAGGAACAAAGTCTAAAACATGGGCCCTGAACAGGTGCCTGATTTCGTACATGTCCGTGCTTGCATTCTGTGAGACTGGCTAACTCTTGTAAGCTTCTATTTGGGTGTAAGAATTAAATACTTCAGATAAGTGACCAATACCCATTCACTGTATCTGAAAAATCATGCACCCAGAATTTAATCTGTCACCCTGAATTTCAAGCAATTTAATAATTTCCACTCCTAATTTAATTTCTGGTGATAGTCACAAAATAATCAAGGCAACTGTCAGAAGCCTTATTCGAAATCAAGTAAGAGTTGAGAGTCAGTCCAGAGTCACTTACTCCAGAGTTTTAAGTAACCAGAGGGTGTATGCTCGATACAATTTCCCAAACCAATCCACAAGTGACAGGGAACTCTGCTCTAGCTGCAAGAGTAGTTCCCTATCTGTAATATTAAATGCAGTGTATTAGACAAGACACCCTTAAAACACTAGGGTACCATAAGTAGTTACACAAAGAACAAACAAAAGTAACAACTGACTCAAGCCTCGCAAAAAACTGATTACTTTAATGTAAGAAATAATCTCTTTAGGCAGAGCATTAACTAATCAAAAATCCAAATGCAAAAAGAGCAAGAAGTTAATTTATAAATTGAAAAGGTGTTATTTAACCTAAGCATTAAGCATGGCTTCTGATGTGCATCTAATAAATAACACCAATAGCCAAAATTACTATTCGTGCAGTCCTCATCTATAAAGCTCAGAAATCAGTAAAATCTTTCCATAATATCAGTGCTGAGATATGCTTATGTGCATCTCCAGATCTACTTATTTATATCTGCTAACTGGAATGGTATTTTAACATATGTTGCAAGAAAAGGAAGACATCAAAACCTGACTTAACAATGTTTAGACAATAATTTAATCCTTTGAGTTAACTCAGATTAATTTTGCAGTTGTGGACCAAAACAAGAACTAAAAGCCAGCTTTTTTGTGTCTTATTTCCAACATACATGAAACAGACAAGAATAGTTAAGCTATAGGTACAATTATAAAATTAGAACATTCTATTAGATATGTAAAAACACTCTTACTGTAATGAGGTCATTCCTTTTAACCATTCTTCCTTGGTAAAAAATCCCATGCTTTCAGCCTCTAGTTTCCAGGCTAAAACTAACATAATAATCTAGGGGAAACAAAAATAAAAATAAGGGGAGGAAAAGGAGTCAGTACATAAGAAAAGGCTGATTTACTCATGTCCAAAAACAAAACTCTAAAGCATTCCAACATTCTAGCAATTGATATGTGCTTGGTCTTCATATTTGTTACCATTAAAAAGTTCAGCTACATGCAATTTTTCCCTCAATTTCAATTTTTGAAAATTAAGTATTACTAAAATAAACCCACCCAAAAAAACCTCACACGCCAGCCAAGTAAAACGGATGTATTCAGCTGAAATATCTTAGAGCAGCTCTTACAAGCAGGAAGATGAAAAACTCTCTGCTTAGTGGAGTTAAGAGTTATACACAGAATTTAACCTTATCAAATATCCCCTTAGGTGTTATTAGCACTATGAAAGAAACTTACATTTTCAGGTTCAACACCGATGTCTTCACAGAATTTTTCCATTCCTTCAGGGCCTACAACTTCATCAGGACCTTCAAAGCAAAAACCACACCAGAGTGAAAAATCCAAGCAACATTCACTGCTCATAAGAGTTATGAACAATAATTAGGCTATATTGCACCCAAAGTATTTCTAAAAACATTGAATTACACTATTAAGTAGCTTTAAAGCAAGACCTATTCTATCAAGTGCAATTGTGTAGACATGTATCTGCTACACCAGAATGCTTGTGCTGTGCACTGCCTCCCTATGATAGCAGATGAAGCATCTTAGTTTTGTATCTGAGTTCTCAAAAGACTCCATTGAGCTTCCTATTGACCAGCTCAACTCCAGTAACTGTGGCAGTCAATTGTTTTAGCACAATTTGGGTACTGCTACTCTCTGCTGAAGTTACTTTATGAATAATGTTCTTAAAAAATTATTTTATTGCCAACAAAAAAAAATCTAATTCTGTTTGAGCTACTATTACAGATATTATTCTTTCGACGGTGCTAACATTATGGGTTTACAATAACACAGAGGGTGAATCTACAAATAATGTAAGATGAGTTTTACAATGCTGAGTAAAACAAGCAAAGTGAAAACAATAAATTGAAGAAATGCTGAGCATGTTAGCCATATACAAAGCAAAAAAAAGGTTCAGGACCGCAATGAAAACAAATTGATTAGGACCACAACAGTTACTGTTATGCTGTCATTCCTCCATTTTAACAGCAAAGTCTCTAAAATGCAGCAAAATAGTGCCTTTAAAGAGTGCATACGGACACGCACTCTAGGGCATTTGTTCCTCTAATCTCTCTGGCTTCAGTTATTTTGACTAAGCCTCCAAAAATGACTCCTACTGGGCAGCCAAATATTATTAAAAGGCCTGTCAACACAGTATTTTAATGTGTCCTGGATCACTACATTAACATTTAATGAGTATGAACTAATGTAAAAGGCAAAGGTTTTAGTTTCCAAAACAACATACCACTTCACAACTTTTTGGCAAATTTTGCTACTTATAATAGGCAGAGTCCTTGATGAATCTGTCTCCACTTTATCTGCTGTCAGTGTAAGCAGAAGCCTCTTTAAGAGTTTGGATAATGTGCTTTGAATAACTACTCACTGTGAGATAAGAACATCGTCAATAAAACCTATTGAGAATGGCTACTTCTGCAGAAAAATAAAATCCAACTGACACTTAACATCATGAATCCCTACCTCCTGAAAAATATTGTAAAGGACACTTTGCCTAGGTAAGCAAGGCCAAACAGTGTTAGAAAATTCTTAAAAAAACCCCAGCAAGTTATGAAGAGAAACACATACAAGGGTTCACTGATAACAACAAGTAAAAGCTTGAATGAATGTTTCTGGTCCAGAAATCATACATAAAACTCATACACTTACATGTATGTGTATAGTTTTATCTTTTAACGGAACCATTTTATCTTCTATTGTACATAATTTAACTGGAATTCTAGCTCATGCTGGAAATGTGGCATTTTTAATTGCTGGTTAACTAAAAGTATAACCTCCTACATTCAATTCTTGACTCAATAACAAAGCCAAAATTTACAGACATTAATTCTGAAGAATGTGCAAACAAATTTATCACAAGAAAATTAACTTTGAATTATTATTTCCCTAGAAAAGACTCCACTCCAGAGGAGTATGCGTCAAACCTAAAGTATAGAGCAGATTACTATAAACAAGAGTAGTTCATTGGTGTGAAGACTGCAAGGAAAATATCAGTCTTGATAAATATACTCAAAACAACTGCTGGCAGATAAATCAGCAGCTCTCTCCATACTAAGATCTGACAATTATTGAGTTTTAATCACCAACCAGCTATGATGGACTTTAAGTAGTGACCAGACAAGAAATTAATAACGATTCAGAAATCCTGAGTTCAGAAACCATAGAATTGGTAAATAAATAGCAGCAATATACACTGCATATTCACTTTAAGCAGCTATTTGATGGTAATTGTGAGTTGTTTGAAAGAGACTACTTCAAATACTTCTGGAATGAAACATTGATATTTAGAATATAAAAAATATTAGTACAAATTCTCAGATGGAAAACCAGTATAAACCTCTACTATTTTGTTTTGTAAAACAGAAATCCAAGGAGCTTAAATCATGACCTATATCATTACCCTTCCAATATGATCACAAAGAAGATATAGTTAGACACATAAGCATCAATCTGAATTATCTTTCAAGGTCCTGACTTCTACTTGACAATTTCAAAGCAAGAAGTGAATCACTCAGTATATCCTGGCTCAACATTGTACTGCTCAATAATTGTTGTTTCATTTTAAAGTTATAAAGTTTAAACAAAAATTAAGTCAAAAAGAACAAATACCAAGAATGTAATAATCAAAGCTTTCCTCATTCAAGTGCACATTATAAGGAAGCAAATATGGACATATTTTTATGTCTACATCAGCATACAAAAAGCAAAATGCAAGTAGTGTTTTATGTACTGCTTTATTTAAAACAAAATCATATAGTTTAAAAAATGAATGCATTGCATATTACCTGCATATTCATAAAACCAAGCCAGGCACTTTTTGCTTGAAAAATGTTCCTCTCCACTTATTACTTTACCAGATGCTTGTGATCTGCAGTAGCAAATAGAAACACAGGGATGAACAGTGTTATTTTAATGACACATGTGAAAACCAGGAAAAATTAAATTACACAACATTATGAATCTACTTAAATTGTTTAATGAGGTCAGTATACATCTAGAGTTATGCTGAATTTCATAAAAGGCAACTGTGTCATCCTCAACTGCTGTTGGTACATAAAATTACCTTTAGATTACAATCATCTCATAGCTCGATTTATTACAACAATTACTTTTCCTGAAATACAGAAGTACTTTTATCTTGTAGATATTAAACAAAAAAACCCCACACAGATGGCCAAAATATCACTCCTCAGTAATTCAAATGCCTCATTATCTATTTTTATTTATACATACAGGCATTTAATGTTAGGTCTCTAATAAGCAGCTTGATTTTGAAGAGTGCTGAACATGCACAGATCCCATTAAGGTCAACAGAAGCTGCAGAGTTTGACATATTTAAAAGTCAGGCTATTTATAGTTAACCATCCAAATCTGGGAAAAATACCCGGTCAATTGGTTTACATTATACATGTAATTAAGCATCTACAAATTCTATAGCTATTTGGTACGTATACCAGAATAGCAGTGTGCAATCTGTGGCAAGACTGAAGCTGCTCAGCACACAGAGCTTCCCCCCATCATTGTTTTCATTATGTAACACACAACCCAGTTTGCCTAGGAAGTGAATTCTCTAATTCATCATCCATTAAAAGAATGCACAGAATTTCTTCCAGTAAAAACACCGACTACACAAAGGCACCTTCAGTCAGTAAGGAGCTGCAGCACCTTTTCAATGCATCTCCTTTCAAACACAAATTACAGACTTTTAAAACAAGCTAAGGTTATTTCTAACAATGAGGTGAGAACTAATCATATGAGAGGCTTTAAAATTATGCAGCTCCCACACTGCAATTTTAAAATTAAAATGTCAAGCAGGAGAGGAATAGCTCAATTCTGAGAGAGATGAACAACTTTAACTCCCATGTATCATTTTTAGCTTCACTGGAAAAGAACACAACACTCTTAAGAAGAAGCATTCTGTGCTGAAAGCTAGAATTAAAGGAGTCCTACAAACATTCATCCATCCATCCATCCATCCATCCATCCAACTGGCATTGGGAACACAAGTCACCAGAAAGAGGCAGAGTCATATGGTGTGCTATTGCTTATTGGCTTTATCCAGATTAACATAGATCTATTTGTAATCACTGATTTTACTAAAGAATATTACAAATAACTTGTTGTGTAAGAACATAATGCCAAAAATGCTTGTGTATCTAGCATTTTCTGATCACCTAGCATGAACTCTCACTGACATCATAGTTTCTGCCCAACAACCAGCTCCCTGTAGAATCTGTGGGTTTTTTTTCTTTTCCTAAGCTAAAAAACACTAAGTAAAAGAAATTAAGATCCTAAATTTCGGTTGACAGTGTTCTAGAAAGACAAACTGAAAGTGAACACATGCAAACAAGTGCTAAGATGAGTAAGGAAACTGAAATTTGGTATTACAAACCAGAATAACTTAGTTTTTAGAAGGATACAAAGTAAAGTATGAGAAAACAGAAGTGTTCCCTCTAAATATACTTTGAGGCAGAACCATGAGGGAGTAGAGGGGTACAGAGGATAATGCAGGCACAAGAAGAGATTTATAGGCAAGGAATAACAGATTGAAACTAAAAGGTCATCAATGACTACAAAAAGTGAGCTCTAGAATGGTTACCCAACACGAACAGTCATAATAAAATATGAGCCTGGGTACTTCTAAGCTCAAGTTTGGCCAGTCAACGAGAAAGGCCATACACCACAATTTTTTGCAATAGCCATTCCCGTAGTGTGGATTTCGCAAGTCCTTTGTATCCTCATGTCCTCAGGACGTTAGTCGTAACTACTGCTCTACTCGCATACTTAACAAGGTGTAAGAGATGAAGCAGGCAGTTACTTCGGGAAAGCCACACTGTACTACGCACTAATAGTTTATCATTCTAACACCAACTTTTGGATAGGTCGGCATAAAGCGGTCTTTTTATAGTAGTTAATGAACACGATGCTTCTGACTCCTGTATTTATTAGAGAAACCTTTCCTGCTCGTTTTCCAGTGTGCTGACTAATCCTTCCAATTCACTGCGAAAAAGCAAAAACTTAAAAAGAGGAAAAAAAGGGGAAAATAAAAAAGAAAAAAAAAAAAAGAGGAAACGACGATTTAGCACAGACCCTCTGAGGACTGGCAATCTTAAAGTGAGGAGAGCCGCCTACCCCAGGGAGATAGAACGAATATGGGGACAAATGCCAGAACTGGCCCTTGAGGTAGAGCCAAAGGCAAAGCCAGCCGGGAACAGGAGCCGTTCCGTGGCATTTCTCGCCGAGGCGTGACCACGCCGCACGCCGCCGCTGCGGCCGCACGCCGAGCGAGCGCCGCACCTGCACCGGACGTGCCCCCCGGCACGACCGCGGCCCTGCCGGGCCCCACACGGCCCGCCAGCCGCCCCGGGGAGCCCCACGGCCGCCGCAGCCCGGGGCCCGCGGAGGAGCGGCCCGGGACGTGCCCGCCGGCACCGGCCGCCGCCCCGCGAGACGGTACCTGCCGAGTTTACATTTCTTGAGGCCGGTGTCGTCCGCCGCTGCCGCCCCCGAGGACTTCCTCTTCTTCTTCACCGGCATCGTCCTGCCTCGGGGCGGGGCCGCCCCGCTGCCGGGGCCCGCAGCCGAGGCCCCCCCGGGCTCGCTTCCCCTGGCCGCCGCCGCCTCCCGAGACCGGCGGTGAGGAAACGAGAGGAGACCCCGTTCCTGCTGGTCCTCCCCAGCCCCACCGGGCGCTGCCGCCCCCCGCTCGCCGCGGGCAGACGCCGCCGCCGCTCCGTTCGCAGAAGCGGGTGTCGTGCCGGGGGCGGGAGCGAGCGCGGGCGGTATCGGCTGCGGAGAGAACGGCGAGAACGACCCGGACACAGACGGCGCCGGGCAGGAAGTGGTAGCGCCGCCGGGGCGGGGCCGCGCCGGGACCCGCCCCCTGGAGGGCGGGGCTGCCGCTTGCGTTTCCCGGCCGGAGCGGGGGCCGCGCGCGTGCTGCTTACGGCTCTGCGTTTGCAGCGAAATAAACGGGGGAGCGCCACCCCTTCCAGGCCTTTCGGACCCGCGCAGTCACAGCCCACAGCTGGGGGGGAGCTGGGTGTCCCGTCAGCGCTGGAGGCGGGTTCGGGGCTGGGACAGCCGCCTGCCGAGAGTCGCGAGCGGTGGCGGAGTTCAGGGGCAGCTGCTGGGTGGGACGGGAGGCGCTCCTTCCTTTTAGAGACACTCTAGAGAAGCGGCTAGGATCGCTGAGCGGGGCGTGGATCGCTACGCCTGCACTGGCCCGCCAAACCACGGGCAGCCACAAGCCTGTGGTCCCGGTGGGCGGTCTGCGCATTCTCCCAGCGCTCCCCGGGGCCGGTACCGGGACCGCAGTCCTTGTCCGCCTTGCTGTATGGGGCACCACGGGCTCCGGGGCGAGGGAAACACCCCAGGTACTGCGGCGGCCGTGACACCGTGATGCAGCGGAGGGTAGGAGAGCTGCTTCGCTGAACGGGAAGCCTGGCAGCGGATCGGGCCGGCCGAGCCCAGCGTGACTGCCGTGCGCTGCTGCCGCGCCGAGGAGCAGCGCGCCACCTTTTCCGCCCCTCCCGCTAGCTCAGCCCCGTCCCGCCCCGTTCCGCTGATTTCTGAGCGCGTCGAGCGCCGCCTCCTTGCCCGGCGCCACCCGCAGCTAGGCCGCCTGCGCGCCAGGGCCGCCATCTCTGGTCACCATAGTGACGGATCCCGACGACGCCGGGACGGCTCCGGGCCTCTCCGGAGCCCTGTGCCCCGGAGCGAGCCGCCGTCCTTCCCGCCGTGAGACTTTTGGGTCTTCTCCCGCCAGCGCCTGCATGTGCTCCCGTGGTGCTCGGCATCCGCCCTCGCCTTAATCCTGCCTGGCGAGGTGCGTGCCGCCACCATGGCCGGGGAGGGAGACAGGAGGAAGCGCTTTATTTCAGCCACGGCTGCCAACTACTTCGGGCTGGAGCCGGCAGGCGGTGCCGCTGCCCTGGCCGCGGGGCTGCATTCCCGTCCGGAGCTGAGCCGCTTCCTCGACGACGGCAATGAGTTCCTGCTCGTGGTGCAGCACTCGGGCGCGCAGCTCAGCGCCTCCAACAAGGTACCGTGGTGTCCGCCGCGTCCCGGCGTGCGAGCGGGGAGGCAGAGCCCGCAGTCAGCCCAGGCTTGGTGGCCGTAAAAATTGGTGTCAGATTTGGGAAGCATCTCCCTCCTGCGAATATCTGTGTAGGTTTCTGTGTCTGCTGCAAGCTACTGGCGGCTGCCGTGGTTTAACCCCAGCCGGCAGATAGGTACCACTCACTGTCCCCCCACCTCGCCGTGGGGAGAAGAATCGGAAAGAAAAGAACGCCGTGGGTTGAGATACGAGCAGTTTAATAACTGAAACGAAATAAAATATAAAAATAGCTAACTACTAACACGCTAATAATAATGTTAATATCTGTAATGAAAAGGGGCGAGAGAGGAGAATAAAACCCAAGAGAGACAAGAGATGCCCAGTGCAGTTATTTACCACCCCCTGACTGCTGCCCAGCCCGTCCCCCAGCAGCGATCGGTGCCTCCCGACCAGCTCTCCCCAGTTCATGCACTGAGCAGGATGCTCTGTGCTACGGAATATCCCTCTGGCCAGTTCGGGTCAGCTGCCCCAGCCATGCTGCCTCCCTGCTTCTTGTGCCCTCCTCACTGGCAGAGCATGGGAAACTGACAAGTCCTTGACTTTGAGTAATTACTGCTCGGCAACAACCGCTGTATCAGTGTGATATTAACATTCTCATACTAAACCCAAAATACAGCACGGTAAGAAAATTAACTCTAGAACACTGTCCCCAGAGTCCATGAAGACCATATGGTCAGCTGATGGTACATTGGTTAGTGGATTGTGCCCATGTTGTTGCAGTTTTAGCGTGTTGTATATTGTCTCTATGTGAATGGCCTGGGCATGGAGTTGGATGTATGATTTCTTCCTGGGCATGGCTGCATGCACGTGTCCCAAAGGATTGCATAGGCAATGTCTGTGCAGGGAATGGCACCCAATGTGTGGTACATTGGCTGATATTTGACAAATCCAAGGTGGGTGTTTGTCCAAAGCATGTATTTTTCAATTTGATGGGTCAAGCTGTAAACAAATCTGAGGTTCATTGCGTGAAATGTCCTGCCTTGAGTCCTGTGATCAGCAAGTGACTCTTGGGGTTGCTACCACGGGGTGTGATGTACACTCAGTGTCACCATGTAGGGAGGGCATGGTGTGGTGCAGCCACTCAGAGTGTACAGGCAAGGTGTGGGTCTTGACAATGGTACCTGTTGTTCTGCAGTGAGACCAGGGGCTTGGTGTCTCTTATGTCAGTGGCTTCACACATGGAAGAAGCTTGTAAGGAGTCCTCAACATGTGGAGTGTGGACCCATAACTTGCATACCTCCTTGGTTAATCCTCTGAAGTCTAGTGCCTGCTGTATTCAGGCAAGAATGAACATATATGTGTACTAGTTTTTGGGGGTGCTGCTGAGCCACTGTCTAAAATACAAAGCAGCTTTCAGCAGCTGTGGAAGATCAGAGGGATATTAGTGTTATACTCTGTACTTGTTGTCTCAATGAAGCTATGTCTGTGGGAGTTAGGCTAAACACTTGATAAGAAAGTAAAACTGATACTGTCCAATAAAACTGAAAGCTCTTCTTACTACCCTTTGTTTCTCTTAACAGAAATACAGTACACAAATGTTTGCAATGGTACAGGATCTGAGATTTCACTTAGCGTATCTTTTTGCTATAAATTTATCAAATGTTTAATAAATTTTCCTGTTCTATGAATTCTCTTCAGCCACAAATAATTTCAGTAATTACTTTATGGCAATTTTTGGAACTTTACCCATATACTGGGCTGTGGATGGAACGTTCATCATGCTGCAATTTATGATTTCAGTGATGAAGGAGCATGCCCATCTCTGTTCTTGAGAAATCTATGAATAATATATTTACAAAGTCAGGAGAACCATACCGAATATTTAGAATCTATAGAAAAATATTCCCAAAGGTTTGTAGCATAAAAATACAATTTAAAATAGGCCTAATGCTTGGTTTCTCTAGGCACAAGACAGAGTTTCTGTTTTGTCCAGAGAAAGTAGTAAATGGAGTTTTCAAAATGTAGTAAGAACTGATGATATTTACAGACATTATATGCTGTAGAAGGCTTTATATATTTGATTTTGGAAGTCAGGTTCCTATGGACTCAGAAATGAGTATCATAAAAATTATAATTTTCTGTGCAAATCAAATACTACCAGAATTTTATCAGAGCCCAGAGGGAGTAATATGGCTATTTTAAATTTTTTCTTGATGCAAATTGTTTGTGTAAATGGTGTATGCAGTTTAGCAGTTAGTAACAGCTTTCTAACAAATCCTGTTTTCTTGATTATTACAGATTGAAGCTACTGATTCAAAGAATAATGTGTTGGTATTCTTTAAGCTGAGACCTGATGTAATTACTGAAGATAATCTTCACAGTAATATTCTTGTGTCATCTATGCTAGATTCACCAATCAACACCCTTTATCAAGCTGTACGACAAGTTTTTGCACCAGTATTACTAAAGGTGAGCAATATACTACTTTAATGTTCTGTAGATTTATATTGAGATACTGGAATTCAATAGGATGTTACCTAATTCTGAGCTAAATATTTTATGTCATGAAACCAAAATGTTTGAGGAGATTAAGCAATGGTTGATAGCTATAGTTGCTAAGTTAAAGAAAGTACTAAAGCTCCTATCAGTAAGGATGAGAGGAAGGTTCTGGTCATACATATGCCTGACTGGAAATGTGGAATACACTGGCCATTGGTTGTTAATGTGGAAAAATGGCTCACATGCTTTCAGGGTGCCTTTATGAACCTGGCAACTGACTTTTGATTTTGTAATAAAAATGTTTTTTATAGTATTATTCTGAATTGTTAAATCAAAAGAATGAGGTGCTCTTCCTTGACTTCAGGGAAAAAAAATGCTGTATTATCCCACCATGTGGTTGGTACTTAATCTGAATTTTGTATTTTTTTAATGACTAATGGGAAGAAAATACTAATTGCTCTATCGTGTGAGTCATAATTTTCAAACTTTTCATTACAGGATGAGAAATGGAGTAAAACATTTGATCCCAAGCTCCAGAAACTTCTAAGTGAGCTTGAAGCTGGCTTGAGTACTGCTCTCAGAAGATCAGATCCCAGTTACACAGGAACAAAATTCAGTGAAGATGATGTGCAAGGTTTGTTTTGCAATTATGTTTTTTATAGTTAAGTTTTGAATTCAGAGTAAATAATTTATTTACAAGTTGAAAGTTTAGGTTTCCCAGTGATTTCACAGTGTAAAATATAACTGGTTATTACTTGGTCATGCCAGAAGAGCAGAGTTGACTTTTATACTGCATCTAATCAGGATCAGAAGTTAAAGGATATTTACATAACCATATGTATAAATTTGCTTTAGAAAGTATGTTCTGACTGAATGTATTTTATAAACATTAATTAATTTAATATATAAATATTTTCTATTTTATTTGCAGCTATACTTACACCAACAGATGAATTTCAGTTCTGGAGAGAATTTGCTCATCGTGAACATAAAGGAAGTAGTAAAGAGAGAGCTTCATATTTTAGAGACCTATTTGAGGACATTGCAAAAGTATGTTTTATTTTGTGTGATCAGGGAAATATTTCTAGACTTAGTAAGAACCACTCTTCCTATGAAATCTATGTCAGTGTATGTACACTCTCTCCAAATATATGAATATATAACTATTGAGTTATTTTTTCTTAGGCTAAGTTTTACTTTAAATGATATTCACGTAGCTTGTTGTGACAGTGGTGGGAATGCTGACATTTACTTGGGAGTGGATTT